TATAAATAAATTAACTAAAACTTTTTATCAAAACTTAATATTTTCCCTTTAAATCCTTATGATGCTTAGTAATTAACTGGAAATTTTCAAAAAAAAAAAAAAGGAATATGTAATTGTATTTTTAAATTTGTTTATTTTTAATTTTATATAAAAAATAATTTTTTAATAAATATATTGTACAATATGTTGAATCAAAATGTGTATTAATCATTGTTATTTTCTTTAAACTCCAAAGGGTTTACATATTTGGTTGCTACATTTTATTAATATATTTTACTATTTTTATGAAATTAATATATTTTACATTTTCTTTTTTAAGTGTATGCGTAAAAAATAAGAAAAAGATTAATAAGGATGAAACTAATAATCAAATATGGCACTGGTAGCTCAGGTGGGTTGGCAATGTAAAGCAAAATCTTTAATCCATGTCAAAATTCAAATCTTTATAAAAGCAGTTATAATACTTTTCCTTTTCCTCAAAATTTCTTCTTGTTCAAAATAAAAAATATATCTATATATATCAAATATAGACATTTTAGTACCATAAATTCAAAACATAAAGTATAGAGATTGTTATAATTTTAGCTCAAGTTTATCTTGCATAGGTTTGTTACTTTAACCATGTCTACAGTAAAAATGGGTTTTAAATTTCTTAAGAATATTTCTACATTAGATTAAGAAGGTACTATAACAATATAAGCAACTAATTCAATAAGTTAATATAATATACTTAAGTAACTCAATAATAATAAATTAAAACACGAGAGAAAATTGTCCCCCAATCTCATTGTGCAACTTAAACTTAAAAAAAAAAAAAAATCAACAAAAAATAAATAAATAGAGGGCAACAATGCTTAAGGTTACAAATAAGTTGAATCTATTATAATATTAAGATTTTTAAGATCGATCTCAATTCATGTATATTCTACTCAAATCAAAGTTGAGCTCAATTTATTTTAAAAGGACAAGCTTTAAGCTACTTATGAAATTACTCATAAACTCTTTCTACATATATAATGTATATAATTCATTTTTGATATTATTAGAGCATGTTTAGTAAAACTTGTAAAAAGTACAGTATTTTAACATTATGCACATTTCATAAGTTAAAATTTTTCTTTTAACAACTTACATTTTTTAATTTCTTTTTAATTTCTTTTTAATTTTAAAAAAATTTTAAACAGTAAATTTTAAAAAGTTTCAAACTTTTATTTTTTATAAATTCACTTTTTACTCACTTTTTTTTATTTTTAAAAGCAATTTTTAAATTTTCTCTCCAATGAAAATTTAAATTTATTACTCAAAACAAAAAATACAAAAACTCCAAGAAGCTACACCGAAGCTGACTCTTAAAACTACTAACAAGCTTTTCTATCAAACTCCAAAAACGTATTTACAACTATTTGCTTAACCAATTCATACTTTCAAACAGAATATTTTGTAAAAGTTTAAATCTTTGACATCATCCTTAAATCTAAGTTTTTAACTTAATGAATACTAATGTAGCCAAACTCTTGTGGGTGGTTTCTTCATTTGCCATTTCAGTTTCAAGAGAAAGATGCATCTTTGATGCTGTATCCATATACTACCGCCAAATGGACCAGAGAGGCTCCATCTCGATATGCATTATACAAACACGAATACTCACAACTCATCCCCTGAGTAGAGATCTAAATGGTACCTAGTTAACAACATAATTTACTGAACAGCTTGGCAGCTCCTAAAGATTCAGCCAAGGAAGATACCATCCGATCAAAACCAAAGGCATGACATATACAACAACCAAAATTGAAAACTAGAAGAAAATGGGAATGCAGAAAAAGTTGAATATCTCTCAAGATTCAAGAAAAAATACGCATGAATCATTTCTTTATCCGCTTCTGAGCTTGATCCAAATCCTCTCCAGTGCTCACATCCCTGAGATGGGTCATAGCTTGGTGTTGGGAGTTCTGTGGATCCTGGTAAGCAAAGATTGACATGATAAGATTTCACAGCAACATTCAGCAGAAAGATCTTGTGTTTGCTGATTAATTTGAAGACAGGATGCACTACTTAAAATAACAAACAAAAGATTAACACTGAAACAGGTTGAACTAATAAAATAATTCCAAGATCCCAAGACTTAATTTTACCAGCTTTGTACCTGAGAAGCAGATGTTCCTGGGGTTAGCCCTCTATTTGCCCTCTTTCCAAGATCAATCTGGACTGAAACTTTGGCGTGTGACAGATCCATACCCGCACTCTGTAGTGCTTGTGTCAGGGAGTTCAATAACCTGGCTCACATCAAAATCCATGTATCTCCTCAGCATATAGTTCAATAATAGTGAGGTAACCACAAGAAAAATGAAGGGGTAACGCCCAACACAACTTCACATGGCAACAATTCAGGTTCAGCAACAAAAGTGGCACAATCACGATGCATGTAGCTAGTTATAAGTCATGTTTAATTGGTGCTCTATGAAATAAAAGAAGCCTCAAAATTTCCTTTGAACAAAAATAACAGAATCACAAACCCCTGAGAGTAAATGCTTGAGATGCTAATTGTTCCTCCTTCAATAGCCAGCTCCTCTTCTTGATTCATTGTATCACTAAGGAGAGGAGAATCAATTAAGTGAGCATCGGATACTGGTCGCTGAAGAGGCTGCATAAGCATGCCATCTCCTTGGATAGAGGCAGGCATGGGTGGAGGCATTCCTTTATTTGCCAGCTCAGGCTGCTGATCCACCACTTTGGAGGTAACATCCTGATTTGGTTCACAATCTAATGGATTCTGTGAACCTGTAAACATTGCAGGAGTGATACTAATGTTATTCTCATCAAATTTCCCAGGGAACATTGACCCTGGACCACAATCATCTTTCACAGCTTGCAGGTTACCAGCAAAGCTCTGAGAACGCCAGTGACTATTTCTCTGTTTCAAGGAAGTAACAGCCAAGAAGTTTCTTTAGTCAAACAATCACCATAGTCAAATGCATTCTTCACATGTAAATTACTATAACAAGCAGTGACTCACAACAAAAGGAACAAGAAGAAACAATACATTAACCTGCATAAATGGAGACTGTAAAAGAACCGGTAATAAAACCATACCCATGGCATTAATTTTGTCGGCTCTGGGTTCCATCCTGGGTAGGAACCCTCGTATTTTTGAACCTTTTCCTGTAGATATTGAACATACTCAATCACCTGCAGATAAACATCAACAAATAGTCACAATTTGAAATATGAATATCTGAGGACATTAACACATATGCAATTTACTTATCAAGATGTACCTCCAGAAGGAAAGAAGCTGTATCTCTTTTCTGATCAGTGCTGGGTACTAGCTCTCTTAATATCAGGAATCTGAAAGAATTAGACTGTTTATCAACAAGAAGCAAACTTAACAAAGTATCACCGACAGCCAATTCCCTATTGAGTTATGCAAACTCTTCATTTTAGTCAAATGAACCCATGCACAACACTTTTCTGGACAGTTTAAATCCATACCAATATGGATCTCATTTTTTCTTTTTGATAAAGTAAGGACACGACTCTCATGTTCTTCAAGATAAATTAAAAACTACAGAAGCTTTTGTGTTCGCATGCCAGATGCTTAGCCATATCAGACATTTGATCAATGATCCCAAGTCCAAGTAACAAATCACCTAATATCCCAATCGAATCATCTTACATCCAAGACAATCTGTAATGCATAAGTTTTGTTTCCAAGAGCCGACTCACAACCAACAGTTAATGTGCTTCTAAAAAGCGAACAAGCCAAAATTGTCCAGCTCACAATTTCCATGCAGGCCAGCATTACTAACAGACATTTTATTTAAATCCGTCGTTTCAGGTCTAAAAAGGGAACAAGCCAAAATCTGTCATTTCTCCCCATGAAAACTATTCTACTTTTAGCAATAAGTTGATTATTTAAGCAATTTGTTCCATGACAATCACATATATCTAATGCAAAATTTCTGAACTCGGTTCAGTGAAACCTGGAACTATAGTAGACTCACACTGTCCCATCCGACTACAATTCCCCGTTTATATGGCAAAAAGACTCAATCATATTAATAACTTCTTTTCAGGGAGTCTGTGAGGGCTGTAGACCAGAGTTCACTAAACATGCAATATTGTCTATTAGTGATTAATTTGAAAACCAAAAGAGCACTCTTTCAGGAAATTCCACGCTACATGTAAAGAAACAGCAAAAGCAATGGAAATTGAAATTGAAGACAAGAAAAAAACATACCTCTCATTGATTTTGCTCCTTCTCCGCTGCTCAGTGACAGAATGCTTGGACCGAATGGCATTAGCCTTATCACTATTCTTCCCATCGGCTTCCATATCCAAAACCAAAATCACCCCACAATCAGAAAAACATATAGAAACCCCATAAACAAATTAACCCAGTACCCCTCATCTAAAATAAACCAGAAACAAGCAAGCAAAGCAATACCCTTTTATAAAACAATTACAGAGACAAAAATTACATTAAGCAACAAGGGATCCAGAAGGGTTGGATCTGATACCTCTGTTGGCGTTGTCACTGACCGTGGTAACATTAGAAAAAGGACCTTGTTTCTCTTCCTCAAACTCTCCCTCCTCTTGATTTCTCTTTCCTGTTCTCATTAGCTCCAAGTCTTGAGTGTATCTCTGTGTGTGTGTGTGTGTAGGAGTGACAGAAACACCCAACACGGATTTCAGACAGAAAAACAATTCCTTTGATTCATGAACAAGAAGATTGATTGAGAAAGACAAAAAGGGGAGGACTTGGAGAAATTTTGGGAGGAAGGTATAAACTTTCCGTTGGTGTCTTCCTTCTTTATTACTTTGGTTTCTGGTGTTGGGGTGGGGTGGGGAGAGGGTTGGGAGGAAGGTATAAACTTTCCGTTGGTGTCTTCCTTCTTTATTACTTTGGTTTCTGGTGTTGGGGTGGGGTGGGGAGGGGGTGTTGCGGGGAAGAACAACCAGAGAACAGTGCGTTAAACTAGTTTTTTTTTTATTTTCTTTTTTTGGGATTAAATGAAGAAGGTGATGGAATGTGAGTGGGATCATGAATTTCCCGTGAGGTCCAATTAAATTAGGCCTCGTGTCTCTCATTCTGTTGTGTGGGCTCCTTTACCGTGGAAAATAAATACTAATAAAAAGAAGACAGAAAAATAGCATTTGAAGTATCTTCATTTTCTAGCACGAGAATGGGGCAAAAGTTACCCGTTTACCCCTTAACTTTTCGATTTTGAGGGTTTTTACCCTTTATATTATAATACATGAATTTTTGCCTTTCATATTTTCGAGTTTGAGGAAATGAAGCAAAATTTAACGCCGAAATGTCACGTGTAGCACGTGCACCATTGGCCTCCATCAAGTGTGCACATATCAACGCCACCTCAGACTTTTTTGACAACTTGGCATGCCAACTTGGAATCACATGAGCGGAAAATCTACCTGCTACCAATTTTATTTGTGGGCCCCACTGCTAACTAAAGGTTTGAAAAAAAAGGTTAAATCCTCGATTCAGTCCCTTAACTTTCATTTTTAAACTAAATTTACCTTCAAACTTCAAAATATTGTGACTTGGTACCAAAAATATAATTTAATAAATAAA